ACAGCATTAACACAACTAAATCTAAAGTTGACTAAGCTGACTAAAGTTATCATGTTTTTAATGGTGAGAGCTGCTCCACATGGTTTAAAAAGTGTCTTATTTGCCTTGACACATGTAGTCTCTTCCCCCACAAGCATCAACATTTTGTGATTTTTTTCATGAAAAACAGGGAGCATGGGAGTTGATTTCCTTATTTTGAGGCTTAGTTTGAACTTAAGCAGGTTGTCTTGACTCTATATACATGTCTAAATGCAATGAGTTGATGCCTTGTGATTGGCTCATTAGTTCTGTGTGGTGTGGGGAATTCACATCATGGATTTCCAGCTGGCAAATCTGCAGCAAGTGTAAGATGCAATCATAATAATAATAATGATCTCAGGAATATTTCTTGGACCTTGTTGAAGAATTAAGGGAGTTATAAAGGCAAAGCCAATGTCATCTCAGTACAAGCATCGCGTGCCTAATAAAGTGTCCAGTGAGTGTATATGTCAAAAACAGAGGTTAGTTAGAAGAGACAGAGTTACACTGGTGAAGCAGCAGTTTATTATGATGCTCTGTGGTATTTCTCAGTGTACAAGCCACAAGAAGTGTCTAGTCACTGGTACATAAGAACACCCTGTCTTCAGTTTGAAGCCATAAAAGAATGTAAGATTCACCACATCTTACATTCTCACGCAAAAACACAAGCTTATTGCTATTATGATAATTATTATGTTCTATGGTTTAAACACAGTGCTATTGCTCAGTGTACAAGTCCCAAAAAACTAAGCAAAGTCTGCATCTCTATGTGATTACTGTTTCAAGTCATGTTGGTTTAGGTGATGTTCTCTTCAGTAATAATAAACAGTAAAAAAAGACTGTAAGCAAATCCAGTGGGTCAAATACTGAGATATGTGCTGCCACATCAAAGGCAAATTTTCCCTGTACAATCTAAGGCAAAGTTCCAGAGAAAAAATAAATTTTTAAAAAGAGCTATGATGTCTCAAACTAGATTTAAGATTCTGAATTCTGTCAACATTGAGCAAAAACATTTTGTTCATTCAAAATGACCCAAAGTCAAAGTCAAAATGAAGCAACTGAACAAACTCCTGATACAAATGGTGAGTTGTATAATACAAAAAAACCCAAAAAAACTACAACAACAAAAAGTGTTAACACAACTGGAAGGAGGGATGGGAATCAAGAACTGGTTCCCAGTAGTCCAATTCCCTGGGATTGTTAGTCTGCCTGCCCATCAATCACACTTATCGGTTCTTCTGCTCTCAATGCGATCAGCTGATATTACTTTGTGCATCGTGTGAAAAGCATGAGATCCACTATTATTGGAGTTTATTCAGATCGTGGGCCTTGTATTTCAAATTTACACTCTTTCACATATGTAATTTCCCAAGCATGTGTATTTGATAAGCTCTTAAACCTTAATTATTTCTTGAGTTGTAATGATCTAATAAAAAAACTGACAATGTGTATAACTACATAAAATTAGAGTTTAGGCCAGAAACATAGAACTAAACCAACAGGAAATGTGGTTGTAGGTAGGAGGGTGACATTCTAGTCAGTCTTTAGTAAGCCCCAGTCAACATGAGTGTAACACTCGTTACAAGAACCCTGGCATGACACACACTCAGAGACCGTTGGATGAGTTTGAGTGCACTTTTATTAACAGTGTTGAGAGCTGGAGGCTCTGTGGAATCTGTAGCTTCAGCTCAGCTCTTGTATGCTTCTGCTCCACCAGCCCTCAGCAGCTACTAGAAATATGGAAGTCTTGGTTAGCATGATGAAAATCAGCTGTGCCAGCCGGCATTGCTTGGCACTGTCCCGTGAACCCACATCTCCACCCTCCCTGCAGGATAGCCTCAAACCACACCCTCCTACACAAGGCATTATTTCATCCAAACCTTTATTTTGTGAAAGACAGATACGATTTGTAAATCTAAAATTAAAGCTCTCAGTTGACCCAAGCAATTTAAACCTAAAAGAATAATGTTAAAACATTTTATTTTAATTAAGGAAACACAGTTCTTCAATACGAAACATGACAAAATTCTCTCCCCTCCCGGTTAAATAAATAAATAAAGAAAGAAAGAAAGAAAGAAAGAAAGAAAGAAAGAAAGAAAGAAAGAAAGAAAGAAAGAAAGAAAGAAAGAAAGAAAGAAATATTTTTTTGATTTTTAAAAACACATTTATTACCAATAAATAAACATTAAGACATCACAAGTTTTGTCACAGTGGAAAAAAACAAAAAAACAAAACTGTCACATGAACATAGGGCTGAATTACAAATGGCCATCTATAACAGAACACACCACATTCTTAAAACACCACTGAGAAGAAAAATATGTTAAATTATCCATCAATGAGTAAAACTGAAATTCTGCTTTAATTCTATGTTTAACCAGCAAAATGAAAATAGTTTCAACCTTCTTCTTTGAAATATTATTAATTAGGGCAGGGCGATATGGCCAAAAATATATATCACGATATATATTTGAAAATTTGCGATAACGATATAACTGACGATATAATTTCTGCGAGACAAAATACAACTCCACAACTTTACTAGCGCAGAAAAACCCCATCCATGTATTTTCACTTAAACAAGCAGCTGATTTTATGTGCATTAAACCTATATAAAAATGTAACAGTGCAAATGCAAATTCCTTGCTGAAAGTTTAACTTCTTAAGCCCCAACGTCCCCTGATACGGGGGCAAAAGGCAGGAGATCAGGTAGGCTTGGGGCTTAAGAGGTTAACCAAAAGGCATTTCCAGTAGAAATGGGCTGACATATCCTGAGCATAACCATGTATAATATCCACTGAAGTTAAAAAGAGGTGCTTTGCAATATTACACTGCAGTGTGCCAAATAAAAAAGTCAAATGTGTATTTTTCGGACCATAAATTGCACATAAGGCACATTAAGCGAAACAAAGCAGTCAGATAAATCAAACTTTATTCAACTCATTCTTCTTGCTTCCTCCACTTCCGTACTATTGATTCATTAATGCTGTTTTCTATCACAGCTGCTCTATTCCCATGTTGTTGCAGTATAGTATAGTTTAATGCTCTCATATCTTCAGCATCTTAAGTAGATTATACTGCACAGTTTTCTCATCAATAAAAGAATATTTACTGCATCAGTTTGTCTTCATTTCATCTGAAACACACAAGGATCAAATCTTTGACTTTATGTTTGGGATATTTTCCTTAAATATAACTAAAGCTTTCACACAGGGGTCATAAATGATATGAAATAGAAATATATACCTTGAATTTTGACTGAAATGTCATATTTGATTCCACCACTGAGCTTTCTTTTTCCAAAAATGGTGTGTATATAGTAAAATATCAATAATGTCACTCCTGTTACATTTGTACCATCAAACTGAAATGAGACTAGTGTCAGATGCTCCACTAGCAAACTGTTTTACAAGCTAAACTTAGCATCATTGTTGTCTAAGGGGACTCAGCGCATGGCTGTAATGTTCTCCCATCACACGGAGCTGAAACGACAGTTTTCACATAGAAAACAGTTTAACTAAGAACTGGGTACTTTTCTGTTGAATCGTTTTCATGATGTTCGTTTGTCGGCTGCGCTCAGAGAGGATGGAAATAAAGGTTTAAAAAGACCTCGAGTCCTTTTTCATCTACTCGTGGTGGCTGCAATTACTCAAACCTTCAAAACACAAAACTAAAATGTTGCCAACTGATTTGGTAAAGAGAATTATCCAAAGCAGACTTCAGGTTTACCATCATTTATGATATTCTCTTGATCTTACACATAATCAGATATGAGTCCGAGTGCTCTGTCATGTGGATAGTAAACTTTTCCAAGTCCTAACAAGAAGAAAATCTAAAAGTTTCCATCGAATGAAACAAAAAACTGAAAATAAATAGAGGAGCGCTCTCTCCTTCCTATGCACCGCCGGCGTCGAGCAGAACAGACCCACGCTGACACCTGGCAAAGGTGGACTTCTAAGTCAACACGGGCAACGAGCTCGCATCCGGCTGCCGTGGCAACACCGTTCACCGTGTGACCACTGGGACAGGTATGTTTTGTATCAACATCATCACCTGCAGCACATCCAATTATAATATTTAAAAGGTTTATCTTTTCTTTTAAATTCCTTGGTATTTATTTGTGAAGCACTTTGTGATCTTCACATTGTGAGGCACTACATAAACAACATTTACTTACTTTCAGTGAAATTTAGTGGTGACTTTAAAATCATTTTATTTGTCTTGAGCCTCCATCTTTGGAAGTGGTGCTGTGTGAGACTCTGAAAGCAAGTTTTGCACTTTTAGAGGAGATGCACTAAAACTGTAATATCATTTTTTTTAAAAAACACGCTGAAGCTAAACAAACAAAGAATAAAATAAAAACTATTTGTTCTCTATGATTGGAACTGACATGTGAAATGTGTCAGGTTGCGTCTTCATCATCACTGATTTGTTTGGAGGAGTCAAGCTTGAACCCTCTTTTGTTTGAATTATAATAATTACAACATTATTCAAATAACACTGAAATGGTCGGGCAGAGAATCAGTGCTGTATCCATGCAAACACATGCACAGCAAGCAAACCTCGGCTTTGGATTCAAATGAAGACACAAACATTTCCAAGTGCGTCCATCTTTGCTGATGATGCAGCAGACACGCTGACCTCCAGTCAGGAGGAGAAGCGTGTTCTTCCACTCACAGACACTGAAGCCTGAAACCGAACGGCCCGTTTACTGCGTTTAACCTCAGTCCTAGTTTCACGGTTCGACGCCTGTGACCTCGTTTAGCTCCAGTTCACAGCTCGTTCTGCCAGACGTCAGTCTGTTTGCATCTGTACTAACTTTGAATAAGTCATCTTCAGTTAAACGACTCTGAGCATCTTTAATCAAATGCACTTTAATCAAATGCACTGGGCTGCTTTCTAAAACCACTTTTACAAAGTCTCTGGTGGACGTGGGAGGAGGAGCGAGGATGACATTTCTATCAGATGAAGAGTTCTGACTGTGTCACAGCTGCACAGACGTCTCATCGTGTCGGGTATGTTATGCATATGTTTGGTTTATTTGATAATCTCACACATTCATTATCTGCTATTCTAATAAACAAAATGATGATAATTGAAGGAAGACAACATTTTTAAAGTTGAACGTTTCAAATGTTGAATATGTTTGATAGTTTTGTTTGAATGATTAGATTAGATAGAAATGGAGTGAATGACAGAGACAGCTGCCTCTTTGTTGATGCTGCTTTAAGTGTTATGATTAATAATGAACGAGCAGCTGCAGATGAGATTCATGAGGACGTCTTCACAGTTTTTCAGCTCTCAGTCATGAAGAGGTGTGGACTGATCCTGCTGTTGCTCTCAGGTCTGTGAACTCATCTCAGTCGCCTCATTTATAGTTTGAATAAAACTTTTGATATCAGAAAATCAAAGAAAGCACAAAGTGAACTGCTCCATAGGGATTATTTTAAAGGTGTCTGTAAACGAGCTTCAAGCAGTCACAGAAACACTCGTACAGTCTCCAAAGATCTTTGTCATGTCAACTAAACTTCTAAAGGTTTCTTTGGGTCCAGTTAAAAGTTTGATTGACAGTTTAATAGTCGGTAGTTTGTAACAGTTTGTATAAAGTGAAGTAAAAGAGTAAAAAGAGAAAGACAGGAGGGAAGAGAGAGTGCATGAACGTGGCTCTGTTTGTGTGCACTGCTGAGAAAAACACGTCTTTATTTTGTTTGTTTTTTGCCCTGGAGCGGGAAACCAGTGTGTAGGTGTCCACAGGCATTGTAAAACACATTTTAACCAGTATACGAGTTACAGATCCTTTGAAGGACACATATATTAACAGACCGCAACACTGTTCAAATCTCTGTAAATTCTCCTGACAAGTAAAATCGAGCTGAGATGAGTCTGTGACCGCTCTGACTTACTCGTGTCCTCTCTCAGGTTACGTGATGGTCTGCCATTTTCAGTCTGATCAGTTAGTCAGACAGCTCCACCTTGTTGACCTGCAGAAGTCCTGGAACGACGCTCAGCAATACTGCAGAGATGAGTACATTGACCTCGCCATCGTTAACAGCTCAGCTCTCATCCAGGAAGCCCAGAAATGGGCGGGGAGCACAGAGGTGTGGATTGGACTCTCCAAGAGCGACTGGAAATGGTCTCGCCTCGGTCCATTTCAGTCATCCTGGTTTCCTTCCTGGTCCCCGGGACAGCCAGGGACTGGGGAGTGTGTTACAATATCTAGTGATGGATCATGGTCCACAAGACAGTGCTCAGAACAACATAGCTTTTTCTGCTTTATTGGTGAGTGTTTTGGACTTTGGAACCAGGGTTTGACAAACTGAACATTTGAGCTGCAGGTCTGAATCCGTCTGATCTTTTGTCTTTCAGGGATGGGTGGCATTTTCGTCCTGGTGTCGACCTTGATGACCTGGCCTGATGCTCAGTCTTACTGCAGACAGACATACATAGACCTGAGCAGCATGATTGATTCATATTTCAACACCATTGTTGCTAACATGTTGACATCTTCTAATCAGGCCTGGATTGGACTGTATAGAAATTACTGGACGTGGTCAAACTCGAGCACAGCCTCAAACCTGCCGTGGGGGTCCGGGCAGCCTGATGACACTCAAAACTGTGCCACAATAGATGTATCAACGGGCTCCTTCTACAGTCTTAATTGTAATGAACAACGCCCCTTCCTCTGCTCCAGAGGTGAGTCTGTCCTCTGTGTTTCTGCACAGTCTGGTCCTCCTGGGCTCATCTGGACACTCTTGGCACAACACTGTCGATCCTTTGGGTGGCGCTGTCATTTGGTGTTCGCTCTCTCTGTGGTAGAGTATCACTTCCTGTTCCTGTTCCAACACAGGAACAGGAAGTAGTAGTTGAGTAGCTTATCTGC